TGACTGTCACTGGCTTACGAGATAGTTAACGTCATTTTAGAATGACAGTTTGCCTTTAAATGGTAAATCTGATATTCAACACTAATAAGGCTTCTTTGAACAAATATAACACGAAACCTTTTCACAGTTTTATGTATTATCCGAACAGGATGAAAATGTTTCTTGATAATGAACTAAACTCAAAATGATAATTGATTCAAACGTGGGGATCTGTGTTGGGCCCGCGTAATACTTGTAATCCGAAGCAGAGTGGACACTAACCTCATCGTCAAAGAACTGGTGGATGTCGGCTTCTTCAGGGGTTCCTCCCCATTGGTTTTCAGGGGCAGGTAGCAGACGGGCGCTGTTGGTCTGCGCCGTGGTGTGGTGGATGTCGGCTTCTTCAGGGGTTTCCAAGAATCCTTGTGTGCCTGTGGTTCCTCCCCATTGGTGTTCAGGGGCAGGTAGCAGACGGGCGCTGGTGGTCTGCGCCGTTTTGAGGCGTCGCTTCTTCGACTGGCGTCTTGACCGTCGTAATTTGGCTTTGCGGGCCTTGTCCCGAAGGCGCTTCTGTTCTCGTGCCTGTTCGGGGTTGTAGACGTACTCTAAACACGGAAAGAATAAAATTCAGATTACAGCATTCCGTAAACTGATGTTTCTGATCGCGTGATTTGACATCAGAGAAGGAAAATCAGTTTCATTCATAAATCACGTATCACAGAAAGACAGGAACAATACAATGTATTTTGATCATATCTGATTGCAAAATTAAATGTTTAATGTACTCCCATTTTAATATCGATGCATTTTGGGTTCTGGTGCCATGACTCGTTTTTTTAGAAACTGTCTCCGGTTTTTCCGTCGTATAATATAAATTTCTCCAGTTTCCCGCATAGCCACTACAGCCCTGAAGATTGAGAAAGAATCTGTCTCCGAAACGTTGGCATCTACTTAATCGCCGTGAAAGCTGCTGATAATACAGAATTAACATTTCCATTACGATTATTAAAACGAAGCAAAAACTAATGACACTGAAGTCACCACGTATTTCTCGAAATATAACAAAAATACGCCTTCTCTACTTTTGTTGACTTCTGTCACTCCAGCTCTGATCGACTCAAATCTTAAAATATGCCACTAAGAAATAAAGACTGCAGTCAATTCCAAATAAATCTGAATCGCTGATGTACCTCAGAATTCTCGGGTACACTTTTTGGAAGCTTTCTGCTGCTTGTGGACATTAAAAGAGAATTAATTACTTACCGGGATATTTCAACTTGTGCTGTGAATCTGCCTGGCGTGCGAGGGCAAAATATTCTTCTTTGTCTTCTACCTTCATCGCCCTCCACATTCCGCCAAGTCTGCAAATAGAAAAAGGTAACTTGTAAGAACACAGGCAGGTTGCAGCTGGGTAAAGGCAAAGGCAGTGGCATATCAGAGCGCACGAAATGTTTCGCCTGTTCTCAACGATCAGAACATTTTCTGCAAATGGGAATGAGATATCGAATTTCAGATTCACCTTATGAATTCTCTACCAATTTAGGACTTTTTGCATTCTTACAGTGAAAGAATTGTTCCTGGTGGATTCCTAAATTCTATTTCTCTACTGTAGGCTAGACTTCTGTACATGTATCATGTGTTCAGTTTATAATAACCGACTCTCCCCCAAGCGCCTACATGGCGTATAGTGGGACAGCTTTACTTTTTAATCCAGCAATGAAAAGCAAATTAGCATAGAAGTTAATGTGCCGAGTTTGTGAGTCGATATTTTTTCAGTTATTAGGGCTCGTAGTTTATCGGCGTCACCACGAAATATCTCCCCCCTCCCTCTCTGTGAGAAGAACAAATTTTTAAATGCGCCTTCTGAACACGAGAAATCTCACATATAATTTTACAAGTTCGCACCGGTGACATGTTTATAAACGTTAACTTGTGAACAATGATAATACGTAATTTGCTGCTATTATAATGTCCCTTTAAACCAAATTGAAAAGAAATCATACTCAACGTTAAAAATCATATCAATAGAATTCTGCCCCCTCCCCCCCTAAACATCTATAATATATTGATAATTGGGAGTTCCATAAAATTCATTCTAGACTGTTCAACAGACAAAATATATCTGAGATGAAACTGACCAATTTTTACTAATTCTGAGCTGCTAAACACGAAGATGGCATTCATTTCGCATTTCGAAGATATTCTTATCAAGCTGTTTCGCTCAATTTTCTGAATTGTAATGCAAGATGATCTCGTATTTTTTGTTGACGTAGTTGGTATTATGGATTCCTTGCTTATAGAACATAACCCAAATGAGTGGCGGTTTCTTATAGATTCCTCAAAATTCAGCTTGAAAGCAGTTTTATTGCACAATGGCGGTTCATATGAAAGAGACACACGATAACATTAAACAATTAATTAACAGAGTTAATTATGACAAATATAAGTGGTGGCTATCATACTAGGCCTTCAGGCAGGGTTACACAAAATATTGTTGCTTCCTCTGTGACAGTCGTCCAAGGAATATACATCGTGAAACTAAACAGTGGCCCCTTCGACAACTTGGAAGCAGGTACTGAAAATATTGTCCGTGAACCACTGGTAGATCAAAGCAAAATAATACCGAAATAGAGAAGCCTTTAGGTACCTCTTTCACAAATTTCCCCAACTAAGTGAAGCTGAAATCAAAGGAGGAATTTTCGGCTGTCCCCAAATAAGAAACCTGATTGTTAGTCAGTTGTTTGTAATTTTCTTGGAAACAACAGGGCGCCAAACTACAGGGAATTAGTAGACAAATTGTTGAAAGCATACTGTAAAATGGGGTGCAATATGTCTCTTAAAATGCATTTTCTTCACTCTCACTTGGACTTTCCCCTGATAATCTTTGATCGGTTAGTGATGAACATGGCGAACGATTTCACCAAGATATTTCTACCCTTGAAAGGAATTATCAGGGGAAAAGGAGTGCATCAATGATAGCTTATTACTGCTGGTCGGTGGTAAGAGATGCCTCTGAGGTAAAATACAGAAGGCCAAAAGACAATGTCTATAAGTTAGGTGAAAATTTTTAAGCATTTCCATATCATATGGACGAATTTATTAGTGATATTTTACAAAGTACAAAATATCTTCAAAACGCGAAGTAAGCTTTTTTTATTCTCATTTTCGAATTTAGCAGACGAAAATACATAAGAATTGACTACTTTCATTTCCGATATATACAACCCGTTAATATTCGTTGTCTTGTGTTAGTGGTGTGGAAACACAGTGACGAAGCTATCAGTATAAGTACTAAACTGCGTAGAAATACGACCACACCTCCTGTTGTGAAACAGCTACTGAAAAAGTAAAGAGATGCGCCATCTGCCGAACACTTTAACACCCTGCATGGTTTATCTGTGATAAGAATTTCAGATGTTGGCCATTCTGCTTGAAGCCACGGATCATAGTAATGTATCTCGTCGATGCAGTGCTGACCGTCGGACCATAACATAACCTAAAAGTAGGATCTTTTTGCCTATCTAAAATTGTACTATTAAAATATACAAAACCTTGATATTGCCCAGTAGTTATGAGTGCAAAGGTTGATCTATAATGCTAAGACAGGAACATGGACTGAGCGTTTGAGAACAGAGTGACTGAGGAAAATATTTGGTCCCAAATGGGATCTAATCTAGGCTGGAGAAAGTTACACAAGTGATGGGCAGGGCATGTAGCCCCCATTTAAAAGACACAAGGTTTTTGTAGGCAAACCAAATGGAAAAAGACAACCAGAAGATCTAGTTGAGTTTGGAATAGCTTGAACTGGATTCATCTGGCTCAGGACAGGGACCATTGGCAGACCCTTATGAACATGGTATTGAACCTTCAGGTTCTATAAAATGTTTGGAATTTTGTGAGTGACTGGGCTTTTTGGAAGAGGGCTATGTGATATCTCCAAATATGCTGCCAACACTTTTGTAAAAGTACCTAATGGAGATATCCAGGAAGATTTTAAGGATAAATGTAAGGAAATTCTTTATTGATGTATATGGATTTAGAAAAGTGAACCTTGATAGTGGCATAACTTTTTCTTACAACATTACTGCCTCTGCAAGTGAAGATAATTCATAAAAAATGAAAATATTTAGTGCCTTTCACAAAAGTGAATGAAGCAGCTCTCCACCATCGAATGTTATTGTAGCGTATCAATCATACTACAAATGTAACAATGAATTAAGTGGCACTCATGGTTAGGATCGATATTGCAGTTATTATACAAATCTGTTCCTTGTAAGGTTCATCCTCCCCATCTTCGAAATGTCGGTGTTTACTCCAGTAAACCATCTTACATGGCTGGTAGCCCTAGAAGAATTCATGTTGGATGGAACATAAAATCATGAAAATATGTAACTAATTTATATTCATATTATCTTTTCAATTTACCTGTGGCAGCAAAAGATTTTGCGAAATAATGTTGGCATCTGTCACCACAAAAGTACATTAGAAACTTCAAAAAATAGGTCCGCTAAATTCGAATGGCTTCGAAGATAATTTGTCGTTCACATTAAATTATTAACAAGTAATTGTCTTGAAGTACATTTTGTATTGCAACCTACCTCACGCTGATTTGGTTGTTGTTTTCATCAGGGAACAGGGCAGCCAGTTTCTTTCTCCATTCATTAGAGTAAATTATAAAACCATTTGGCGGTCTTTTAACTTTTTCGTTTTGCAAAGCAGCAAGTTTTCGTGGCTGCTTTGCCAGGTTGTCATCTTTATTTTCTGAAAGAATAGTGGAATCCATACATAACACAGTTTTAAAACAATAAGAATCAGAATAAAAAAACATGGCTGTTTTCAAACTCTTTCCTTTTCTGAAGAATTACAGACATCTTAAGCAACTCTAATGGATATTTTACAGGATCAAAAGTGTCTCTCAGGCCGTAAGTTGAACACAAATTGCCAAGTAGACATTAGCAGAAATTGCAGAGATAAATAGAGTACAAGGTTGACTCATTCTGTCATTTTATGACTTGAAAACCAATAGACTGATTTTGATCAACCTTTGTACACTTATACTTGAAGAAATTAGTCGAAGAACCCAAAATGTCCTAAAGATAAGTTCGAATAATAAACCATTTTGATTAATTGCTATTTATAACAGAGGAAACATGTCAAAATCGTTGCTCTTTCTTACCTAAAGAAGCAAATTCAAAGGAGCGTTTCCTGGTGTCACTTTCTGTGCCGCCCTCTGTTGGAATAACTGACAAGGACACGTCCACTTCAGACATGGATTCAGTTGCAAATGAGGTTTAGGAAAATATAAGATATTGGTAATACATTCCTGAATCACCTCATTCATCACAGTTGGTTCTGGAACACACAAACAGAACAGAATCAAGGATAATATTCAGCCTACATTATTTTATCTGAAAAATCCAAAATGTCCTAAAGAATAATAAAACATTTACATAATTGCTATTTATGTAAGATAGCAAAGTTAAATTATGAAAATGATAGCTGAGGAAACACACCAAAATCATTAACCACTTCAAGCTACTTTTTTGGGATGAGAGAGGTCTTACCTTTGTCATCTAAGATGCAGTTCATGAATTTCTGCATCTCCTCTGTCATAGTTGGATATGTAACACACAAATGGAACAGAGTCAAGGATTATATTCAGGCAACATTCTTTTCTCTGTATCTAAAAAATGAAAGTTTTGTGAAATCACGAGGCTACACCACAATAACTTGGCAACAGAAGATGTAGAAATAAATGGACCACAAAGTTGACTCACGCTGTCATTTTTAGACTTGATAAGTAATTGACTGATTTTGATCAACTTTTATACCGAAGGCACTTGCACAAATTTGTCAGAGAATCCAAAATGTCCTAAAGAGGAACTGAAATAATAAAACACATTCAATAATTGCTATTCATGAGACAGCAAAGTTAAAATCTTAAAGTGATACCAGAGGAAACATGGCAAAATCATTCTTCACCAAGTTACTTTCTTGCGAAGAGAGGTCTTACCTTTGTCATCTAGCATAAACTTCATAAAATTGTTGAATTCCTCAGTTATAGTTGGTTCTGGAACACACAAACAGAACAGTCAAGGATTAAATTCAGCCTACAATCTTTTTTCTGCATCTAAAAAAATTACAGACTTTTGTGAAAGCACAAGACTGTTCTGTATCTAAAAAAAGACATTGTTTTGTGATATCACAAGGCGCTACTATAACACATTGTCATCAAATTAACTGAGATTTATTAACTTTGTACCGCACGTTGCAAGTACATACACTGTATATAACGAAACTAGTGAAAATGGTAATCCATTAGTTCAAATTTTCAGAATGAATAAGTTAATGGTAATGAGTACCAGGTTTCACTATTAGATCATTTATAAGGGTATGTGGACAAGGAACCTTTATAAATAATCAGTTATGATAAAGGACCTTGACAAGGTTTTTATATTTCAGTATTTTTCTGAATTATCTGATATTTTTTTTCCAAAAGCAACTAACTAATTGGTTTTGATCAGCTTTTGTACTGAAGGCACAAATTAGTCAAAGAATCCAAAATGTCCTAAAGAGGAGCCCAAATAATAGAATTTTTTTAATAATTGCTGTTTATAAGACAGCTGAGTTAAAATGTGAAAATGACAGCTGAGGAAACGCGTCAAAATCTTACTCACTTCAAATTAATTTCTTGGGAAGAGAGAGGTCTTACCTTTGTCATCCAGGATACTATTGATGATGGCATCAAACTCCTCCATGGTTATGCTTGGTACACTGGAACACACAAACAGGACAGAGTCAAGGATTGAATTCAGCCTAAATTCTTTTTTCTGTATCTATACAAATGACAGTTTAGTGAATTCACTAGGCAACACCATAACTACTTGGCACCAAATTAACTGAGAATTATTAAATTATACCACAAGTTGAAGGTAAATACACTAAAAATAATTCTCGAAGTGAAGGTTCTATTACTATTCTATTGAATTATTAAAACATGGAGGTCAAGTGTTATTTGTTAGAATATACAAATTAATATTTACAATATGGGTCCATGAAAAAATACCATCAGAATGGACAGTGGGTTTGATATGCCCAATTTTTAAGACAGAGGATGAGTTTCAATGTAATAATTATAGAGGGATTACCCTGTTAATTATGCCATACAAAATTCTATCATATATTATTCTTTAAAGACTAATTACACACACCAAAGAGATAGGAGGGTTGTACTGATGTTGATTTTGACAAATTAGAAAAATCATGACCAAATACTTGAGATGAGTGGGAAAAGTGACTTATTGATTTCAGGCAAGCTTTTGGAATCATGGAAAACCAGAAAAAATAATAGGGAACTGTCATTTACAAATCCAAACAAACTTGTGCTAATGTTGATGACATTGTTCTGGTTGCAAGGAATATTTTGGGATTTAAAGAATTATTATCTGCAATGGAAACTAAGGAAAGAAAATTATATCTACAAATTAATTAATTAAATTCTGAATACCTGAAAATGCCCTCATTACATTGAAGTTGTTGAAAGTTTCACATGTTGGGATCAGTCATAGAGAATAGAAATAAAATGTGGAAAGACTTTCATTTTAAAATTATGACAACAAACCACTTATTGTGCAAATACTAAATTTTTCAGGTCTATACTTTGTCCCAAAGAACTAAATTGGTAATATTCAAAACCTAATAAGATCTGTTCTAAGTTATGGGTCAGAAACTTGACAATGACTTCAGAAGAAATAAAGGCACTTGGAATATTTGAAAGAAGGATGATTAGAGAAATCTGTGGCCCCACAAATAAAGGAGAAAGCTGGAAAATAAAACTAATAAGGAGACAAGGGGCAGAAATTGTAAAATTTTTAAAATCTCTGACAGATGACACAGTCTTAGCAGTTACTTGGAGGAGCTGAGGGAAACCACCAAAAAATCTCCAATCAGTATAACTGGTATGAGGGGATATTTAAACCTGGGACTATGTAAAATTAAAAAGAAATGACGTCCGTTTTAAAAATAACAATACTATCAGTGCTAGAAGCCTACAAGTTAATCCCTCTTCGAATTATAATTCAGTCAATGAGGTTATACCATTCTTTGACGTACACAAAAATATTTATCTTGAAACTCGCACATTTTCTCCATTTCAGTACTATATAAATTACATAAATTTAGAACGTATTTACAGGCCTACAATGTGATTTAATTTACTGCTAAAATACTTTCATTAACATTGTATGGCCTTGATGTTCATTTATGTGAATGTAGACGATATGGTTGGATGTGAATACCTTATAATTGGTTCTACGTATTTTATGTCGGAGTACATTTCACACGTTTTCAGTTAATATTGGATGCCTCTTTAAATTGGAACTATTATGATGGTAAAATTTAAAACAGTTATGTCACCTTTAATGTCCAAGTACTTAGAATGTTTGGTATTTGCATCTAACACGAAACTTTCCATTTTTATACAATTAATTTATTATCCACTTATAACTGAATGATTACTGTTACCGTAATAAGGGAAATTGTGCTTAAAATTATAACTATTTATCAGAAAATGAAAGAGTACTCACGAGTCTTCCAAAGATTTTTCGTCCGTCGGCGGTTATACTCTGTTGTGACGTGAAACCAATCACAGCGATGGTAAAGCATCACGTGAGAGTTGTGTCCAATGAGTGCGTAGTACGAGTAAAAACACAATATGAAACAATCTCCGTAAGTAATTTATATAAAATATATTTTCAATTAATATTATATGTTTCCTTAAATTAGAATTATATTGCTGATAAAACTTAAAACAACAATTACGTCATCTGTGTGTTTAGTCTTTCAAGAAAGATCTTTCATCTGTTTTCCTTCAATTTTGAAATCACACCAATCACAGCGCTTCTTATGCATCACGTGAGTCTGTGTAAAAATGGAAGTGCACTAGTACTGCTAAAAACTAGATTAAAACCAATCTTTGTAATTAATTTATATAAAATATATTTTAAATTAATTTTAGATACCTCTCTAAATTAGAATCATAGTGGTGATAACATTTATTTCATGGACCAGTATCATATTTGCTTCATGAATCCTAACAGGTTGGTTCACTGTTTTTGTAGTTTCATGTTTCAGTACTGTTGATTAACGCGTTCGTTACCAGGTGTATCATAATTAACAAGTTATTTACTTCTGTAGTATTTTTAGTGTAATTAAACATGACCTGGCAGGCGGGTATTACAAGTTAATTAATTTGTTGATTAGGAAACTTAATTCCCAATTCACTTGCATTCAGTTGTTATTCTGTTATTTCTCATACAAATCTCCATTTGAAGTGGTACAAGGCGAATGTCAACTACCATTACCTGCTGTACACGTAATTTGTTTATTGTAGCAATTATCAGGTGCAATATTACATCATCTTCTCTTAGGTCTCATACAGTGTGTCTCGCTAAATGTTTGACATGATTTCACTTTAGACCGAAAGAAAATGGTATAAAAGTGCACCTGTTTATAATAATAATTTGAATCTATGTAGGATTTGAGGGTGGCGGACATCTACCAGACTACAAGGTGGGGCAACACAGAAGACAGCTATCTTCATAATATGAATCCATTATTTTGTGCATTCATAGCTTAAACTTTATTTTGTTATCCTATGGAAAACTTGTAATCACATCTTTGGCAGTCAGTTTCAGCCAGGGTCCATGAGAAGAATCCTGTTGTTTATGAACGTAGATCATCCACACACACTATCTCAACACAAGGAACATCAGGCATGAAGAAGGCAGATCTGGGGCAAGTTTGTGATGCAGAGTTACTTCACATAGGTAATAATTCTAGTCCCCCACTTTTTTTTTACATGGCGAGAGAAGACATTTTCATTTGTTGGTATATCTACTTTTGTTTTGGAATCAGTCTACATGGCTACAAATTCTCTCACTTGTGAGTATGTAAGACAGTAAAGTTAATTCTATTATACGAGGGGCGCATACAAATGATTTAGACTAACCTGAATTATGTGATCCTTGATGGTGGTGGCTCCCAGGTTACACTTTGGCCCGTTCCACATATTCTCCCTGGAGGTCGATGCACCGTTATCATCTCTCTGGCAATTTCTGTATTGCCCCACGAAACCATTGTTTGGGGGGGTGTCTCGTACCCACTCCCTGACAGCATGATGTAAGGCGTCACTATCGGGGAATCGGTGACCACGCAGGGGATTCTTCATCTCGTGGAAGAGGGCATAGTCACTTGGTGCCAGGTCGGGGGAATAGGGCGGGTGTGGGAGCACGGTGAACCCCAGTGACTGCACGTGCAACTGTGTTCAATTGGGTGCCAGGCTTCGCATGTGTCAACGAAGCAGTGAAAAAGGGATCCAGCAGTGGTCGTCCCAGAACATCAAAAACTCCGCAAATGATTCAAAGAGTGTCGGAACTGATCCCCTGCGTGGTCACCGATTCCCCGTTAGTGACGCCTTACATGATGCTGTCAGGGAGTGGGTATGAGCCCCCCCTAAACAATGGTTTCGTGGGGCAATAAGGAAATTGACAGAGAGAAGGCAACGGTGAAGGGAGAATATGTGGAACGGGTCGAAGTGTAACCTGGGAGCCACCACCATCAAGGATCACATAATTCAGGTTAGTCTAAATCATTTGT